GATGATGATGATGATGACGGTTTCGTGTTTTTTCATTTCATTGCTCCGCCATGATCAGCATCGTCCCGCGTTGATTTGTTTCGATAGGGCCATTAGAAGACAAGAACAGCGAGCAGCCAGAGAGAGAGACAGAGGGAGAGAGAGAGAGAGAGAGAGAAGCTGTTGTGTTTTGTTTCCTTTTTTTTTCTTTCGGGCTGACTGACCTCGCCGCAACGAGCTCCTCCCCGACATGACAAGATACAGTACTCACTCTTTCACCCTCACGGATCGTCTCGCGTTCGTTTACGAGCACGAGGCAATAACTCTCTCAATGTGTTTTTGCCCCCCCGCGTGCACATAGGTCTAAACCTCCCCCCCATTTGTACGGTGTTCCATGGATGGCACGTTTGTTCGCTTTCTTGTTCCGCGGGTCCATTTTTTTAGGCCGTTTGTACTGTACGGTTTTCCTGGACGACAAACGTGGTTAAACGTGTTGTTCCCTCATGGGTCGTTTTGCCGGAGGCCCCTTTGTACTGTTTTCTTGGCTGATGCGTTGTTCAAATTTCTTGTGTTCCACCGGTCGTTCCGTTGAAGGTGAGAACCGTGAACGTGCTTGGAATCCACAACGTGAGCCTGGACATCGCGGCGTTGACGGACTTCGCAGACGAGAGCGGCATCAGCACCCTGCGAGAGTGCTTTGCGAAGCTGTTGCAGCTCGTGGACATCGTGCTCACGTGAGAACAGCGAGAGGGTTTATGGGGGGTACGTGGGGCAAGGAGGAGGAGGGTGGGGGGGGAGTTGGAGCAACGAAAATAGTCCGCCCTCGACGCGGCTCGACTGATGAGTCCTTGGCAGCTCCCGTGAAGTTTGTTGGAAACACCTTTCTCACCACCCCACCGCCCTCGGTAATGGTGGTCGAGTAGATCATGTTGTGCGGGGTCGAGAACCCTCACTCCGCGCAAAGGGGATGATCGCACCACGTTGTGATTATTTGGTCAAGCACCCTCGAGGCAGTTACACAGTGCTTGTAACTGTCTCTGGAAGTGAAGCACATAAATTAAGTCATACGAAGCTGTCATCCGTACGCAAGGAAGTAAGAACAAGATCCCGAACACCCTTAGCAGGATGCAGCGCACCCTTCATGCGACTCGCCGAATACCTCATGGTGCTTCGCGCTGGGTGATGTGAGAGCCTGGTCCGGTGAGAACCCGGCGTGCTTCGCCCCGGCTTTATAGCGATGCGAGGTCAGTAGTCTAACGGCTATGGCATGCACGACTATGAGTACACCCCCCCCCCCCCGGTGTTTGCCTATCGGGATTGGGTTTTCGTCGCTTGGCAACGACGTTGTAAAACAAGCCAATTCACTTCGTGAACTCGGCAACCAGGTTACCGTTTTTTTTTTTTTCCTCCGTTTATTTTTTTTGGGCGGTAACCATAATGATGGTTGAGTAGATCATGTTGTGCGGGGTGAACCCTCACTCCGCGCAAGGGGGATGATCGCACCACGTTGTGTTAAAATGGTCAAGCACCCTCGAGGCAGTTACACAGTGCTTGTAACTGTCTCTGGAAGTGAAGCACATAAATTAAGTCATACGAAGCTGTCATCCGTACGCAAGGAAGTAAGAACAAGATGCCGAA